GGCCTCTGCTTTAAGTCAGGGGCTTCCTGTATTCCTTGTTGATGAATTTTACATTATGTTTAAAATGCTGTTTTTGTTTGTTTGTTTTCATCTTTTTTGGAACTGAAATCCGCCCACAGCCATTGACTGAGATGGGCAGCTGCGGAAATAGAATAAATAAATAAACTGTCCTGAAATGCATTCTCACCCCTAACACCCCCCCCCCCCAAAAAAGAGGAGAGACCCCCAGATTCAAATGCTCACCACGTATCTCTCCTTCGGGACCTCCAAATTCTGCACGATCTGGAGCTCCCCAGCTGGGCCCTCTTCCCAAAGGGCTGTTTTCTGGAAGAAAAGACAAAGGCCGCCCCCGTAAGTCTGCCATGCACCTGACGGGCAAGGAGGGCGGCGGCTGGGGAGCTGCAGGCACTGATGCTCACCTGTGTCACCAGGTAGGGCACTTCGTGGGGCAGGTGTTCCAGGAGTCTGGCCCGGATGAGGTTAGCGCAGATCTCCTGTGGGGACTGGCTGGTCAGGACGTCGCTGTGGTACTCCCACGGGCCCGGCTGGGCTTGATTCAGGAGGTATTTCTGTGGGCACAAAGGGTCCTGGGTCACACCTGCTTGGAGCGGAGGGGTAACCCGTACAGCAGTTCATGTTCTGACCCAGGCTTCGTAAATCCTAATCAGGCACAAACTTATTTTGAAAACAAGGCTTATTTTATTGCAATGCTGGGAATTGTTTTCATTTCCACCCAAATTAATCTCAAACAGTCCCCCAAGGTAGAATAGAACAGAAATTAGAATAGAATATACAGTAGAATAGAATAGAAATTAGAATAGAATAGAATAGAATAGAATAGAACAGAACAGAATTCCTTTTATTGGCCAAGTGTGGTTGGTCACACAAGGAATTTGTCTTGGTGCAAATGCTCTCAGTGTACATAAAAGAAAAGTGTACATTCATCAGAGTCAAGAATCACCAGGTGCAACACTTAATGATAGTCACAGGGTACAATAAGCAATCAAGAAGCTGCCCACATTGGACAAACACTGGCCTAGATATACAGAAGCTACTTAAATAAGCAGCGAAACATTTTTAAAACAAACCCAAAAGTCCACCCGCCATGATTCAACTCCCAGATTGGCAGCCCTACAAACGCCACATACTGGCAATTTCCCCCAATTCGAAAGGAAACCCAGTTTTAAGCCGAAATGTTTTCTGCTCTTCTCTCTCCCCCCACCCACTTCTGTTTTATCCTGGCGAGGCAGGGATGAAACATTTCAATCAAATGCCTAAGGAGATTCTCAACCATCCAGGTCAGGGTTGTCCCAAAGGTGCTTTTCCAAAAGACAACTGGACTTCCTTCCGCTTTTTTGTTTGAAAACCTTTCATTTCTTCCTCTGAGAAGCTCCAGTTCTTCAGACTTCCGTCTGTCCATCCATCCATCCCCCTCCCTCTAATTCCCATCTCTTCTCCCTCCCTTCCTTCCTTCCTTCCTTCCTTCCTTCCTTCCTTCCTTCCTTCCTTCCTTTCCTTTCCTTTCCTTTCCTTTCCTTTCCTTTCCTTTCCTTTCCTTTCCTTTCCTTTCCTTCTTTCCTTTCTTCTCCCTCCCATCTCCTCCCTCCCTTCTCTTCCTCCCTCATTGTCGGTTCACCAACACTGGAGGTTTTAAAGAAGAGATTGGATCACCATTTGTCTGAAGTGGTGTAGGGTTTTCCTGCCTCAGTAGGGGGTCGGACTAGAAGACCTCCAAGGTCCCTTCCAACTCTGTGATTCTGCCTGTTCTTTTCCCTTCCCTTCCCCTCTCCTCCTCTCTCTGAAGAACTGAAGAAGCTGCTTGGAGGAGAAGCAAAAGGTTTTTCCAGGAAAACAGCAATGTCCACTTGCCTTTTGGGAGAGCCCCTTTGGGAGGGCAAGCCTTTCCACCCCTTCCCCGTGGCCATCTGGGGCTCGAGGGCTGAGCCCTGGCCTCCTGGCGGGGGCCGCTCACGTGCCTTCAGAGTGTCCACCTCCTCCTCCTGCAATGCAGCCAACATGAAGATCTCCCGGAAGCCGGGCCAGCCTTTCTGGGCCTTGGAGCCCACCGGGGTCTCGTCCTCCTTGGCAGAGGCCCAGCCCGGCTCCTTCCCCGCGGGCTCCACAGGGGCTCTCTTGGGGGGCCTGTACAGAGGCCTGATCCCCAGCTTCTTTCCTCCAAAGGCGCCTTCGGTCAGCTCAGCCACCAGCTCCAAGAGGAGGCCCTTGTGCTTCACCAGATCCACCTGAGCCCGCAAAGGGGAAGGGAAACCAAGTCAGCTGCTTTACCCCGTTTCCCCGAAAATACGACCTACCCTGAAAGTAAGGCCTAGCTTGATTTCTACATGTGCACCCGATATAAGCCCTACCCCACAAAATAAGCCCTAATTAAGACCCCACCCACTCCAGAATGGACGGGTAACAATTAAGCCAGGGTGGGGATGCGGAGTGGTGGAGCCACCCTACTACTTACCTTTGGGCAGGTGTAGCCAGGCCTCGCACACCCCGACACCCTGCCTTGCCGGCCCATTTCTTCTGCAGCCAGCAAGGCTTTCTGAAGGCTTCTGGCGCTGATGACAAAGCTCTGGATCGATCCTGAAGGGTGCAGAGGCCTTCAGGAAGTTCCTTGCTGGCCACAGGAGTTCCAGAAGGCCTCTAACAGCAAAAAGGAGGCCGGGGGCGACGCACGCACAAATGAGGTTAGTCAGTGGATGATACATCCTCCAAAAATAAGACCTGGTGCCTTTTTTTGGTGGCAAATATATATATATATATTAGACAGGGTCTTATTTTCAGGGAAATACAGGTAGCAAGTCACGGAAAGACAGAAAACGGACATGTGAAAAAGAACCGGTGATCCACCGAGCC